TATTATTATTATTATTATTATTATTATTATTATTATTATTATTATTAACAATAACAACAACAACAATAATAATCTGATTCTACAAAAAACCACCCTACTTGGAACAGCTTATATCCTCCGACGCTACCTGAACAGTTCCTAGGTCCTTGGTTAGGACTCGAGCTGTTGAGCTACCAACCAGCCCTAAAGCTGTGAATCTCACTAAAGATTAAATCATACTAATACTACTACTACTACTAATAAACTAGACAAATAATAATTTGTCTAGTTTAATGAAAAGAAGGATTAGGGATGACATGATAGCAGTATCCCAATATCTCAGTGGTTGCCACAAAGAAGAGGAAGTCAAGCTATTCTCCAAAGCACCTGAAGACAAGACAAGAAGCAAGAATTTGAAATGTATGTGAAGAAAATAAGGAGGAAGGCATCTGAAAGGGTCTAAATGTTGTTGGATCCTTGGTCTAACCCTGACTTTGTTTGCCTTATGTCTAGGACTGCAGCCATTCCAAAGTATCCAGGTTCAAACCCAGTTTCAGCTCATCTTGCCTCCAGAGAAGACCTGCAGCCCTGATTATTCCGGGTTGCTGGAGACATTCCAGATCTTCATTCTGGATGAGCTGAAGTCTCGTGGCTTTTGCCATATCCAGGTATTTTAACGGTGAATCTATGCAAAAGTGAATGAAGCAGCTCTATTGTGCATTGTGCATGGCCATCCCTGGGTATGATTTGGCCAACCAATAGGAGCACACTGATTTCTGAATCTATCATTGTATTATTACAACTACATTTGTATCAGAAGCACCTACCAAAGCACTTCTGGATTGAAAGGACTAGCTGGCGGCATCACCGTTGCCCAGAGGATGCTCAAAGGGGCTCCCTTTTCCCACCAAAGTGGTACCTATTTATCTACTTGCATTTTCATGCTTTCAAACGGCTAGGTGGGCAGGAGCTCTTTATATTATAAAGAGTCAGTTTGGTCTAGTAGCTAAGGCATGAAGCTAGAAACTAGGAGAATGTGAGTTCTAGTCCTGCTTAGGCATGAAAGCCAGCTGGATGACTTGGTCCAATGAATCCGCAGGATAGTGTGAGTTCTAGTCCTGCTTTAGGCATGAAAACTGGCTGGGTGACTTCGAGCCAATTACTCTCTCTCAACTCAATCCATCTCACAGGGTTTTTGTTGTGGGGAGAAGGTAGAATAGAATAGAATAGAATAGAATAGAATAGAATAGAATAGAATATTTGTTTAAGCTTAAACATGAATTGTGGCTGAATTCAAATCACAACCACTACCAACAATAGCAGAATCTGATCTTTTTTTTTTAAGGTCAATACTTTGGAGAACTTGGTGTCTGTTCCAGTCTGTGGAGATTCTGCTGTCCTGGTTGAGTGTGCAGCTGCTGACCGCCTGGGAGTGAATGTCACATGGCAAGCTATGCTCAAAAATGTGCCACCTACTGCACTTCCTGACTTATACGACATTGGTTAGTTTATTATTTCTAGCGTAATGTGGCTGTTTTGACTAAAATATTATTGGCCCTCATCCTCTTCAAATATGTCAGTGTATTGAAGATCTAATGAAAAAGCCTAACAGAAATGATTGAAAATTCAAAAAAAAAATATTTTGTTTTAATTCCTTGAAAGTTCACATCTCCACAAGAGACTGTGCTTTGTACTGGAATCATATTTAAATATATTTGTCACAAAACGCAAAAGAGGAAGGGAAGGGAAAGGAAGGTAGAGGGAGAGCAAAAAAGGGAGGGAGGAAGGAAGGAAAAGAGAGGGAAAGGAAAGGGGAGAGGGAAAGAGGGGTAGAGAGAGAGGAAGGGAAAGGAAGGGAAGGAAGGAAGAATGGAAGAGACTATTACTTGGTTTTCTGTTTCAATCTTGGAAATTCTATTATTTTTTCCCAGCTTTTGAAAGCTCCTTCAAAAAATAATAATTGAGCCCAAACATATACTATGAATACCAAGCTTGGATTTCCTTTGTATTAATATTATCATCTAAAATTTAGGTTAGGTTGCAGTTTCCATTAATTGATTAATAATTCAGCCGCAACATTCTTGCACATTTCTATTTTCCAATTTGGAATTCCTAAACTCTGACTATCGATCTGTCACTCATTACCCTAAGAAAGGCCAAATTGTAACCACCTCCAGAAGCTTCCTGTGAGGAGAATAGCTATGTGGGCACCAGTTCTGAAAGCTATTTGTTTTTAAATCCCTTGCATCTGGGAAGGATTAAATGAAGGAAAGTTCTCTGCTTGCTCATATGTCTGAAATACTTGTATCCAGCAAAGGATAAGATGAGTTTTAGGCCTAAATTACATTTTTTTTTTTGGCCTTGGAAAGCATTCTGGACCACCAAAGAAATAATTAAGATCTATTCAATAACTGTAGAAAGTACTGTGGTTGGATTATATTATAAAACATATAATCTTTAAATATTGAAAAAAACCACCATAAACTACATTAAGATAATTGGAAAGGAATTCAAGTATTTGTGTATTTTGGACATATGTTTGCACTTGGGAAAAATAACAAAGCACAATTTGTTGTGATAGAATTGTACTACATATAGGGTGAATGATCCCAAGCCTACATGATGGACCAATTTCAAGAAACTTGGTTGGAAAATCTGTCTCAACAGGCCGGCCTCAGCTGAAGAAACTTTCATTGGAGCTTTATTTTATTTGTTTTTTTTTTTTTTAAATAGGAGTTGCTCATGAACAGAACTAGGAAACTGGGGAAAAAACAGGACATGAAACCAAATTTGTCCTTCCATTTCCCAATGTTTCTAGTCTTCAAATTCAGTTCATGATATTTTCATATCCCCACAGACATTCACATGGCACGGTGCATATTTTTCCTGGTGCATATTTTTCTTGAGACGTGCATTTTTTCATCACATATATACTTTATTTGTGAGTGATGGTCTTTAATATGATTCATCATATACTATTTTCACTAAGGTATAAAATATTCCAGGGCACTTTTTTTCTGACATATTCTTTTTAATTCATAGTTTAAAAATTCAGAGAAGTGCAATTTTAAAGGGTCTCTCTCTCATTTATCTATCGCTATCTATCTATCTATCTATCTATCTATCTATCTATCTATCTATC